ACATCAAATACGTATGCTGAATGCCATAATAATATCATATCATGTTTCCCATCAAATCCGATTGAATTGTGGAATAAATATCGAGATTTTATGGCAGAAGAGTTTTTGATTCGAATGCGCTATTACACAGAAAACTCTGATTTGATCATAACATTGGAAATGTATAATGAGGCATTAATAGTGATAGAAGATATGTGCATTACGACCGCCAATAAAGCATTGGGACAATTAGGTATGATTTCACCCAATCGTCCAATTCATGATTTGTTCGATCGAGAATTTCGACAAGGACAACAGTATGATATCAATAAATTACAAACATTTATGAATTTTAATGTTCCCAAATTAAATAACCATCAAAAATTAATAAAATAATCTCCAAAAATTGCATCTAAATAATAAAATAACCCAACACTATAAATTCTTTCTTCGAATGCAATTGGTATTCACTAACACAAAAATTAATTTTAACTTATTCGGTTTTTCAAAGGCCATTGAAGCCCATTACCGCAACACAAATTAGCTTCCACCTATCAATCTATCCTGTGTTACTGTTTCCATATCTTTTATTCCAATTTCTTCTAAAGTCTTTTTTATTTTGTCTATCTATTTTTGTTTTGTTTTTTGTTTTAAAAGTGGTCGTTTATCAAGGTGATTCCATTTTAATACCGCTTTCATTAGGCTATTTGACCTCTATACGTGGCCAGCTTATGCGAATTCTCGATCGTTTGTAAGAGAACCTTCTAGAACTCAACACAATATAAAACGGCGCGACGTAACAATAACGTCAATCAGTTAGTTAGCCAGTTTATGCAAGTATGGCGACGCAATAAAAACTCATAGAAATCATTCTAGTAATGTTGGATGTTTTAAGGGAAGCTAATAAATATTTATATTCAACAGAACTAATGTCAATAAATTTATACTTAAATAACGTATCCGAATATGTGCAGTTTTATGCAAGAAATAATGACGGAATATATAATATTTCCGATCAAACTTCAAGTATTCTTAAAGGTTACCAGATAGTTCATGATTTTTTTTTAGCACAACTTACTAAAGTGAAATCTAAAATGTGCAAAAATGAGATATATGATCAAATATTTATTTATTGTCCTGATTACAACAAAACAGGAGAATATTCTCCCGAAAATATTCAATATGTTGCAAAAAAACTTAAAAATCGTTTAATACAAACTGATAAGCAACAAAACGACACTGATGATAATATAAAAAACTTACAATACAGTGAAATATACATTTTATTTAATAAAGCTATTGAAAGGTCTAAATACGAAGATTTTTCACCGAAAAATTTATTATTTTATGACCTTATGACGAGTAATAGCGAAATATCCGAAAAAGATATAATGAGAAATTCTCAGGATAAACAATATCCATTGTTAACAAACGAACAGAATTTATATGATTTAGACGTAATTCGATTTGCACCACTTACAGTAATTTGTCCTGATAAAAGTCGCTTGACCCTTTTTGACATATTTAGATACGTCAAGTATACTTTTTATAGAAAAGATATAAAAGTATTTCATACACTAATACTAGCAGCAACATTTCGTCCTATTGCTTTGCTCGTAAGACTGTTTATCAAAATTCTAAGTTTATCAACATACAAAAAATTATTAGAATTGATAAACCTTGAACCTATGTAAGACTATAAACCTATGCAAGATTTACATAGTTAATAATTCAAGAATAATGTGTAACTAAAGATAACCAAACAAAAATGTTTAAATATATTTATTCTGTAAGTAATTGAGTGAGTTATGATAAAAAAATCATCCTGTATATTACAAAGTATAAAGTATTTTATAAGTCTTCTTACCCACTAATGTAAGAAAAGTTTGCACAATTTTTTATCGACTATATTGTTACATTCGACATATTAGCTAAAGCACTCCATTTAAAACTCCAAATCGTCACCATTGTCATCAAATGCTTCTATATTACCCACAAAAAATATAGCCATATTACTTGGTATCAGTATAGCAAAAGGTTTTGTACATTATCTGTGTATAAAAGCCGTATTCTCATCTACAGTTTTTTTGTCTGTACTGGGACAAGAAGTACTAGGACTATTAAGTAAGTAATCTTCAGTAATTTAACAAAACTTTTTGTAGAATAATACCTTTAATAATAATAATTAATAATAATTACACAATGCACATTAAGATAAAACATCAAGAATTAGTTATCATTACTAATAATAATAATTAATAATAATTACACAATGCACATTAAGATAAAACATCAAGAATTAGTTATCATTACTGAAAATAAATTTGAAGTTAAATGGATGGTGTTATCAGGGTAAGTTTCTAGGGTTGTATAATATGATTCAGGCGTATTGTGAGCAAAAACCGAATAAAAGAAAGGAGTTCTGTAATGTATCTACATTACATTATCGTTAAAAAAATAGTCATTGTTGATTCTAACAGAAAATGTGCGATTAGTTAGATAGCTTAACGATTAGATAGTAGTAGATAGAATGTAGACATTTTTATATTTAAATACGAGGTTTTCATGCCTGTTATTATCAAAGGCCTGAGCCACATTGAGTAGGATTGCACCGCAGTCCTGGTTTTACTCAAGGCCACTTGATATACGGTCTGTTTTGCGATGAAGTTGGTGCATGATGGAGTGATTTGATCTGAAGCCAAACTGATGATTTGCAATGATTTTGGATTTTAATAGACACTAGAGTTTTCTTGAAATTATAATAGTTAAGAAATCTCTTTATGGTAATTTTTAGTTTTATATATTTCTAGGTTTATCAATTCTAATAATTTTTTTAATTCACCATTTATACCTTAAAAGGAAGTCAACTTAATTTTTTTAAATTAATACATACATATTTAAAAATCTAATGAAATAAATAATCATATAATTCAAAAAATGATTGATCGGTGACAACTTTCGACATATTATTTAGAAAGTTATAACTATTTTAAAATAAAAAGCAAAGGAGATCTGATAGGGAAATTATAAAGCCTAAAAGATACTTGAATTAGTTACGTATTATTAGAGATGTTGTTATTGATTATTGTTGAATGAAATAGTTTATGTAATTAAAAGATTTAAAAATTATTCGTATTATAATAGTTTTTAATATAAAATAACAAAGCATATAATATAAGCGATGTTCAACGGTATTGGATCGCTTAACTCAAAAAACAACTGAATCTTAAACATTTATACAATAGACTGCATTGAGCAAAATGACATAACCGAGAAAGAAATGTGTTTTTTAAATCTTTTACTATACTAACAAAAGTGAAAATACATTTTACACTGTTATCTTAAATAATATTACTGTACCTAGTGTGTTTAATGATATCAATAATTTTAATGTATACTTACATTTTTATTTTATTACACATTATACAATGTTTGTTATAATTTTAGTAGCCAGAGATTTTAAGTTAAAAATAGGAAAATTTATATACTTTATATACGTAATTATATGTCGAGACATGAAAGGTCTGTATTGATACTGTCAGTTGGTCAGTATNTCCATTGTTAACAAACGAACAGAATTTATATGATTTAGACGTAATTCGATTTGCACCACTTACAGTAATTTGTCCTGATAAAAGTCGCTTGACCCTTTTTGACATATTTAGATACGTCAAGTATACTTTTTATAGAAAAGATATAAAAGTATTTCATACACTAATACTAGCAGCAACATTTCGTCCTATTGCTTTGCTCGTAAGACTGTTTATCAAAATTCTAAGTTTATCAACATACAAAAAATTATTAGAATTGATAAACCTTGAACCTATGTAAGACTATAAACCTATGCAAGATTTACATAGTTAATAATTCAAGAATAATATGTAACTAAAGATAACCAAACAAAAATGTTTAAATATATTTATTCTGTAAGTAATTGAGTGAGTTATGATAAAAAAATCATCCTGTATATTACAAAGTATAAAGTATTTTATAAGTCTTCTTACCCACTAATGTAAGAAAAGTTTGCACAATTTTTTATCGACTATATTGTTACATTCGACATATTAGCTAAAGCACTCCATTTAAAACTCCAAATCGTCACCATTGTCATCAAATGCTTCTATATTACCCACAAAAAATATAGCCATATTACTTGGTATCAGTATAGCAAAAGGTTTTGTACATTATCTGTGTATAAAAGCCGTATTCTCATCTACAGTTTTTTTGTCTGTACTGGGACAAGAAGTACTAGGACTATTAAGTAAGTAATCTTCAGTAATTTAACAAAACTTTTTGTAGAATAATACCTTTAATAATAATAATTAATAATAATTACACAATGCACATTAAGATAAAACATCAAGAATTAGTTATCATTACTAATAATAATAATTAATAATAATTACACAATGCACATTAAGATAAAACATCAAGAATTAGTTATCATTACTGAAAATAAATTTGAAGTTAAATGGATGGTGTTATCAGGGTAAGTTTCTAGGGTTGTATAATATGATTCAGGCGTATTGTGAGCAAAAACCGAATAAAAGAAAGGAGTTCTGTAATGTATCTACATTACATTATCGTTAAAAAAATAGTCATTGTTGATTCTAACAGAAAATGTGCGATTAGTTAGATAGCTTAACGATTAGATAGTAGTAGATAGAATGTAGACATTTTTATATTTAAATACGAGGTTTTCATGCCTGTTATTATCAAAGGCCTGAGCCACATTGAGTAGGATTGCACCGCAGTCCTGGTTTTACTCAAGGCCACTTGATATACGGTCTGTTTTGCGATGAAGTTGGTGCATGATGGAGTGATTTGATCTGAAGCCAAACTGATGATTTGCAATGATTTTGGATTTTAATAGACACTAGAGTTTTCTTGAAATTATAATAGTTAAGAAATCTCTTTATGGTAATTTTTAGTTTTATATATTTCTAGGTTTATCAATTCTAATAATTTTTTTAATTAACCATTTATACCTTAAAAGGAAGTCAACTTAATTTTTTTAAATTAATACATACATATTTAAAAATCTAATGAAATAAATAATCATATAATTCAAAAAATGATTGATCGGTGACAACTTTCGACATATTATTTAGAAAGTTATAACTATTTTAAAATAAAAAGCAAAGGAGATCTGATAGGGAAATTATAAAGCCTAAAAGATACTTGAATTAGTTACGTATTATTAGAGATGTTGTTATTGATTATTGTTGAATGAAATAGTTTATGTAATTAAAAGATTTAAAAATTATTCGTATTATAATAGTTTTTAATATAAAATAACAAAGCATATAATATAAGCGATGTTCAACGGTATTGGATCGCTTAACTCAAAAAACAACTGAATCTTAAACATTTATACAATAGACTGCATTGAGCAAAATGACATAACCGAGAAAGAAATGTGTTTTTTAAATCTTTTACTATACTAACAAAAGTGAAAATACATTTTACACTGTTATCTTAAATAATATTACTGTACCTAGTGTGTTTAATGATATCAATAATTTTAATGTATACTTACATTTTTATTTTATTACATATTATACAATGTTTGTTATAATTTTAGTAGCCAGAGATTTTAAGTTAAAAATAGGAAAATGTTATATACTTTATATACGTAATTATATGTCGAGACATGAAAGGTCTGTATTGATACTGTCAGTTGGTCAGTGTCCGTTTAACAATATGGTTCTGAAAGTTAGTTCTACCCAATTCTAATGTAATAATTAATTATGTTTATATAATGTATGATACTACTATCAATAAGATACTTTTATGTATAATATTTGTGGAAGAAAATTTGAAAAAATTATTGATAAATACTAAAATTTGAATAATTTATATGTATAATATGTAATCTAACAAGTATTTAGGATAAAAATTGTAATTATTTAATTCGCATCTATCACTATTATTTCTAATTTTTGCAGGATCATTTTGATACCTATTAATTTTGTTTCTATTTTCATCAT